ATAAAACTGCAAGGCATCTGCAATGCCTCAGGAGAGGAGTCTATCTCATCTCTGCAGGGTACAGAAACCTTCTGAGCCTTCTTAAATACTGGTCGCATCTGGAGTTATGCCTTCATCTACAGAGGTAGTGAACTCTGTTTTTATGGTTATTAATGACGTCACCGAACCTCTCAGTTGTTCAGGACAACTTGTACCTTCCTATACAGTGGGGCTGATAGCCCCTAGAGATACACCAGGAGGATAGAATTCTCACATTGTTAATAATGGACCAAACAAGGTCCATTATTGGACGTGCATGTCTTATGCCCAGTAAGACATGCACGTGCATGTCTTTAGATTGTGGGAAGAAACCGCAGTACCCGCAGAGAACCCATGTGAACATGTGGAGAACATGCAAACTGCACACAGAAAAGACCAAGCTAGATGGTGGCGTCAAATTCAGGACCTTCTTGCTGTGAGGCATCACAGTGCTAATCACCATGCAATATGCTGCTTGTCCAAAGAAACATGATAACAGCACAGCATGTCAAATCCACTAAATCACTAAAATTAATATTAAATCAGCGTTTAATGTTGTCATGGTTCGCATAGAAAGGAATTCACTAGTGCTGATGTAGCATGCTTATCGCCAGTATATCAGGGGCAATGTTGCTTATCTGTGCTTCTCCAACAGTTTCTCTTTTTATTTATTTCTGCTCAGGAGGCATTGAGTAACTTGTGAATCATTTGCGGTGCATGAGTGATGTAGCTGGATAGTGTAGTGACGACACTACTCAACACCTGATCTATCAAATTCTGGGTTTGAATCTGCCTCAATTGTTAAGGCTCATGTCACGTGTTGAGGAACTAAGAATGCTGATGAGAAGTAGGCTACTGGAACAACGTATACATGGAAATGAATTTTATCCAATGCATGTGGGAACCATTGGTGGACAGGACATTTTTCAATATTTTTCAGTGGGTAAGCAATGTCAATGCAACCTAATGCCTCCCCGGCTGAATCGTCAGGTGAAGTGGAGGTAAACATTATTGTACTTGCTTCTTGCTGATAAGAAAGCCAAATTAAAGCTCCTGAATCCCTCTTTGTTTGAGTTATGAAGAGAAAGGCGAAATGTAGGTAAAGCAGCGTTAACCCACAGAAACACATTCTTCCTGATCAGATAAACCACATCTCTGTTACCTGCCACTACCTGACAGAGCAGGTATACGTCTGCAATACTTTGTTGTGCTGTCTGGATAGTGTCAGAAGAATATGCAAGACTTTTAGCGTATCTGCAGATTTTAGAAAGAACACTTGAGTTTAATTCCTCAAAAATCAATAAAGAGAAGAAAGAAAAAGATTTACTTTTGAACTGCTCAGTTTAGAGAAAACCAAACAAGCGGCGATTCAAGTGCAAAACTCGTAATTTTAATTGAAGGCTTTGAACAAAACTACTGTATTACATGGAGCTGAACTGTAACTGGAGAAACATAAACATAATCATAAAACAGACTGTTCGGTTTAAATACTTTATTGTATCCTTTGTAGGCAATGGGTGAAGTCTTAGAGATCATTGGAGAATGGGTTTTCTCTTCTTGATCCTTTCCAAGCCCTTTAATCTCAGGCTTTTCACTTTCTTATTCTTGGCTCTTCCTGTTTTTAACTTTGTATTCAGGATGTAAGATCCAGCCAAGTTGGAGTGACATCAGGGGACTGAGTCCATCACTGCAGAATACTACACCACCTTCAAAACCTCCTGGGCTTCTTTTTCAGTGTGTTTTGGATCATTGTCCATCTGTACTGTGAGGCACAGAATCAAATTTAATGTATTTGGCTGAAACTAAAGTATACAACACATATTTTCAAATCACAAATAAACATCAGAGACCCAGTACATGAGAATGAATTTATTGTTTTAAGAGGATGTTTTATTTTTTAGATTACGAGCTGCTCAAAAGGTTTCCATAGGTTCCCCGACATCATTCCGGTTCAGGTCCAATCACATTTATGCCAGTCAAAATATAACCACACAATGTTTGCAATTGAGGCTTGGCCTATTTTTATTTACTAAAACTTCAAAATCTATTTGTACATTGTGTACATATCCTTTAATATTATGAGTAAAGTGCTACATATTAAGTGCATAAAGAGTTATTGTTCTAAGCACTTTTGAAAACACCCAGATTTATAAAAGAACCATGTAGCTCCAATGACAT